ATGAAGGACTTTGGATGTCAAACAAAGAATTTTTTATTTGATCCTGGGAGCCACTAGAGTTTACTGAGGACGGTAACATGATTGGACCTACACTTAAGGAAAATCACTTCAGTGACTAAATGGAGGATGGAATGGACTGGGGAGAGACTTTGAGACAGGCAGACCAACCAGGAGCTGCTGCAATAATCCAGGTGTGAGAAGAGCCTGCACTAGAACGATGGCAGTGTCAGAGGAGAGAAGGGGGAGCATTGGAAAGATGTTGCAATGGTGAAATCGACAGGCCTTGGTAACATATTGGATATGGAGGGTGAGAGATAGTGAAGAATCCAGGATGATTTGCAAGGTTGAAAGCTCAGGAACTAGGAAGACGGTGTCGCCCTCTATATCCATAGTCTATACACAACAGGGATCCAATAAAATAGTTTAGGGGTTGCATGTCAACCTAAAGAAACTGGCTGTAGTTCTTCAGTCTGGGAAAAAAGAATGCCAAATTTTAAGAGCAGGGAGATATAAGGTAGGATAGTGTGTATTACTCATACTTTGGGTAGAATAAGCTACTCTACTTTGTACCAAACAATGTAAAATGAGTTTAATCCATTACAAGCTAGATTTAAGGATTTCTTGACTTTGAGGATTGTGAGACATTAAGAGTATTTATTAAAGGAGGCTGGAGAGTTTCCTTTTCCATGGATTTTTAAGTGCAGACTGAGAATTCAAGACAACTTCACAGACTGAGAGCTCACACAATTCGAAAAACCTTTGAATGGCATACAACACAGTAATACCGTACACACTCCCTACCATGCCTTAAACAGGGATTTTTGTGCATAGCAGGTGTTTGTTATCTGGTGAACTCGACTGTCTGAATAAAGGCTTTTGATAACTTTCTCTGGAACGAGGCCTAGAGATACAGGATCAAATTGGATGGCATCTCATCCCAGGATTGTGTCTTTTACCTTTCTAGATTGGGCTTGGGGGGGGGGAAGGGGGATGGTGTCAGAGCCTCCTTTACTTTTAGGCCTATGCAAGAAGGCAAGACTACAAACAGTTTTTGTGCCTTGTGCTATATTTTGTCCCTTGGATCAGTGGTGTTAAACTCAAATAGAAACAGAGCCAGTAAAGGATCACCTAAGGATCTATGCAGCCACATAATGACTTTTAAAAAACACATACTGAGATTATCTATATTTTATTGTATTTGTATTTATTAAATATTTCCAAATAGTATTTTAATTCGATTTCTTTCCACTTAGGAGTGTTATGGGACCCCCTGTTCACCATGTCTGCCTTGGATGATAAGCGGGCTCATTCTACAAATGAGTTTTTTAAGTCAGTCCATCCTGGGCACATCATTATTCACTGATGTGGCGGCTGGAGTCATTAGAACTTAGGAAGTGGGCTAAAAGGAAAAAAGCTGGCCTAAGAACCTATGATTTCTCCTCAGGGCACAAAGCAAACCTCTCCAGATATGAAGGACTATGCCACAGTCACTGCTTAACTTTTACAGAATCTTCTTCAAAATCCAATACTCTTACAGCAGCCTACAGCCTCATTACAACCTAAATGGTGGTAAAGTTTGTTCTAACCCAAGGGCTTTTTTGGTAAGATAAGGTGTGGAGGAAGCTGCTGGAGGACATCATCTGAACAATCCAATCAATCCCTCCATATCTTCTGAAAACCTAATTCTCCTTCAGGTCACTAAACTGAATGAAACACTCCATCACTAATTCTCCAAACAAAGAGATGTCACCATTTAAGTGCCATTTTTTATTTGCCTCTTCCTTTCTCCTTCCCCTTTCTTCTGAGCATCTGTCACCAGCATTTGGGTAGCTGGCACACCAGTGTACAGTAACAGGTTCTTACTGATCAAGAACTTAGAAACATACGCCCTAAACTGCCAGCTTTCCAAGGGTTGCAGATTCCACAACCATATGAAAATAGAAAATGAAGACGAAAAGAGACTTTTCCAAAGAACAGACACATAAGAACAAAAAAGAAACTGTCAAAAAACATCTTTGTTACCAACTTCTACCTAGCAATGTTTCCCAATAACAGCTCTCGTATGTTATATTAATACAACACTGAGCACAGCTCCCCAGTTTCAAAAGCATATAGCCTAAAACTTCTGGCTCACTAGAAAAAGTCTGGAGGAAGGGATAGAAAAAAAATAGATGGAGTCCTGAATGAAGGAAGGAGACACCTGTACAGCAGTACAGCAGTACAGCATTGAGTCTTTCCCTCTCCACCCTGACTGATTTAGCAGGCAACCCACCCCATACCTCTAAAAGGTCTCCTGAACAGCCCTGACCACATTACCGGAGCTTGGATTCAGAGTAGCTCAGCATATATGGCCCCATACAAGGTGGAGATAGGGGAATAAATTTGAAGAGGTTAAGTGACTTGTTCCAGATCACAAAGCAGCCTTTCCACAGGTCTAAAATATACACTGTTTCTGCTATAGGTAATACTTTGTCTCTCAACCTCAACTGTAAACTAAACCTTGAAACAGGAAGAAGGAGATGACTTAGCCCTTTGAGGTCAGCTGACAAATACTGAAGGTGTGTCCCTTTCCCCACCTCCTAGCCTTCTATGATGCAGTGAAAAGGAATGGGCTTTGCTACTGAAGTCTCCATTTTCCCTTTCTCACAGGAAGACAGAAAGGAACAGAGTAGGAGATGCTTGCATTATTAGCACCTTGGCAGTACTGTTGGAACATGTATGTATGTACAGGTTGGGTAGGATAGGTGCCTAGTTTCCTGGAGAGAGCCAGTAGGAACTGTCAACAAAGCAGCATTCCCTGTAGGTTCTGATAAACAGGGTGGTATGCATATATATGCAAATGTATGGATGAAAGGATAAATTAGATAGATGCCTCTCACTGACAGGAGTGGTGGTGAGTAGAAAGGGAAGAAGCTAGATGTTTAGATCCCAGAGGGTTGGGGTAGGGAGGAACCGGCAATGGTACAAAGTGGGAGTGTGTGGTCGGGGCCAGGTCTAACATTTCTCTAAACAGAAAGGCAAAAGCTCAGAGAAGTAATGTCACATCCAAGGTCATAGTACACTTGGCAGGAGGGCTGTGAAGTTCCCTGTCCAAAACTATAAGAGGGACTATCTCAACTTCTCCACCCCTCCACCCTTGAGAAATGTGCCAAGCCTAGCTCTAACAGCAAAGTTTTAACCCATGTGCTTTTAATACATTTTAATCACCAGTGACAGGACTTCAGCCACCTCAGTTAATCAACAGCTAAGATTTGGTTAGGGGTGGGGAAGAAGCATATCACAGAAGAAAGTCCCAGAGAAAGCCACATAAAATTCATCTTGCTGAGAGCCTAGATTCCAAATGATCTTTTATTTGAAAGGATCTAGATTAACCAAGTGGCAGTTACTCTACTTAGTTTTCTCAGTCTGAATCCTCATAGTCCCACAGCCACTCGCTAAAACATCACTCTCTCCCTCCCTAACAATTTATCACTTCATCTCTTCCAAGAAGCAAAGTCTCATAGGCCGACACTACACCAAAGAAAATGATGACCTAAATGGCAAGGGAAAAAACTGTGTCACCCAATTACAACATGACTCTGCTCCCTTTTATTCTATCCCCTCCATCTGCCTCTTCACTCCCTCCAAATGAGGGGCATCTGTAAAGCTAACCATATTCTCCCATTATTGGTCACATCCCCTGGCTAACTCAAATCCCAGCAAACCCTCTGAGCAAGGGCTGACAAAGAGATTAGCCTCGAGATGGAAAACTCTGCTCCCTCTACACCTGTTGTGAAGCCACCAAGGACATTGGAACAAAACACTGAAATGACAAGCATAAGTCTTCCACCTTGAAATCACCAAATCTTTCCAAGCCCCTGCCTCCTAAACACCTCCCCCCTATCTACCCTAAAGATCTTCATTGTCACCACCCACCCACACTTCTTCCCCATCATACAGACTACACATTCATCTTTTTTCTAGTGGGCTACAGTTTCTGACTAGCTTGCAGCAAATGTCCGCATTACTAGCCTATGCAGTCTGGACAGAAAATCTTCAACTCCATACCAGGTGTAATGGACTTTTTCAGTCCCACAATGCTTCATAGCTGTAATATAATATCAAGGGATAAAGGCCTGGATGTAGATTTCTCTTCACTCTCAATACACAGATTGGGAGAACTGTCTCGGGTAGAGAGAGGAATGATAAGAGGCAGGCACTAATATAATGAAGTGAGATAGGCTTCAAAATCCTAAGTCCTGGCGGGTAAGAAGTGACCGAAGGTAAGTATGACAAAGGTAATGAAAGAATCAAGGAGGGGGAGGAAAGCCAGCCATTAAACTGCGGCTGGGAGAAGGCACAAAAATCGCACTGCATGTGATTTTTTGGGGGGAGGGGGGGCAGAAAAGACAAGTGAGGGAGACTAGGAAATGTCAGGCACAGGAAAAGTGTGTCAGAGGGGCGGGGGAAAGGGAGGGAATGAGAAGGAAGCTCAACTCCAAAACATTTGCAGAGGACGAAAAGTCCCAGGGAAGGGGATACGAGGGTCCATGGTTGCAGAGGGATCACGAGGAAGATGGGGGTGCTGGGCAAGTAGAAATCGCCGGAAGGGGCAGTATAATCAGGGAGGAGAGAAATCTAAATGGCGGAGGTATGGGGAAGGAAGGAGGGAGAGGTGGTGGTGACTGAGGGCAAGTGCACAGGGGTGCAGGTGTGTGCGGACTGTGGGGGGGGTAGGGGGAAGCAGCCAAGGCCCAGAGGGGAAGGAAGTGAGGGGAAGGGGGGAGAGGTGGCTAAAGAGGTCTCCACGTGAGGGGGCGGGGCTTCCCTTAAAGCGGGGGGTGCACCCCAGGGTGGGGTGCCAAATCACCTCCTCCAGCACCTCCCCAGGGACCAGACGCGCGCGCCCCGGGCCAAACGATTCCGTGCGAGGCGGGGGGAGCGCTCGCGGCAGCCCAGGTGCTGGAGGGCAGGGCCGGGCTCTCCCGGGGCCACGCTCGCTCCCTCCCGCGCTCACTCACCCGCAGGGCGGACAGGTCGATGTCGTCCAGGCTTCGGGCTGGGGCGGGGTCTCCCATGGCGGCGGCCGGGCCGGGCCGGAGCCGGAGCCTAGAGGCTCAGACTGGGCGGGCCCAGGAGGGACGCGGGGTCACTCAGGCTCAGGCTCCGGCTCCCTTATTGCGCTGCCGTTGTCGTTTCTGCCCCATTGGGGGAGAAGAGGGGATCGGGGCTCCGCTTCGCCTCCCCTTCCCTTCCCTGGAAAGACGGGGCTGGGGAACGCGATGCAGATAAGTTAACCGACAGGATCCTTTCCGATTGACTGACTGACAGGAGCTCAAGTTCTGAACTAGCAACCCGGAGCCCCTGAACTCTACTGCGCACGCGTTTTTGAGCGAGGGTGGGAGAGGGAGGGGTCAAGAGAACAGGCTGTGCGCACGCGCGAGAACCAGCTGAAGGACTGGGAGCGTAGGGAAGTGGGTGTGGGGAAGAGGTGCGGGATGTGATGGTCCAGAGTGCACGGATTAACTTGCGCGTGCGCCGGACGGAGCCTCTCTTCTTCCCTCTTTTGCTCTTCCAGTCTCGTATGACACCTACTCCCCTCCCGCCGGCCAGAATTGCAACTGGTGCCCTTTCTAGCTGAACCACCTACCTGGCGGGGCGGGGCGGGGCAGGGCGGGATGGGGGAGGAGGAGAAGGAGAAAAGGAGCGGCCTCCAGTTCCACTTCACAACTCTAGAGGGGCTGCCATGGCAACCCCCCACGCTAAGGGGGAAAGCGGGCCTCGGGATAGGGTAGGCTAGGCTAGGCTTAGGACAGGCTGTCCACCCACCCTGGTCGCCACGGCAACCGGAGAACCACTGGGGGAGGGAGTGCTGCAAGGAAAGCCTGGGGAGAATGGAAGTGGGAGAGGGCAGGTACAGAGCCTGAGCTCTTGCTGTACGAGAGCTCAGGAAATGTTCTCCAGCTAGGGGAGGCTTAGAAATTCAATAGGGGGTATTTCTAAATAGGGATGTTTCTCCAGGTCCTTCACTAAACCATTTCTTCCCCCTCCCTCGCAAACACACAGGGTTATTCGTAGTAAATATTGTTGATAGGTCGAATGGATTGATTGCGTTGTCCAGCTAGTGAAAGCAGCATATTTGTTCCTGACAACTTGCCTTGGGGCCACTCACATCACACCGAAACACATCACAGTTCTTGTTCTCCCCTTGGTGTGGGAGCTCCCTGGAGTGGTGAATATGTCTGCACTTTTAATTTATCTTTGCCCTCAAAGTTCAGCCTTCAAGGCTCTCATGAAGGTGGGAAGGAGGGAGGTGAGCCAACATTCATTATTGTGGAAGATGAAAACTGCTAAGAGGTAAGAGTCTGATAAGGTAACACTTTGTGGGTTTCTGACTCCCCTTGTGCAATTCTATTATGCACTGATACTGCCTATTCAAGGATGGGTAGGGCTGGAATAGGTGGAGTGAAGTGGGGTAGAGAACATTTAGCAGGAAAACTACAGAGGCAAGAATGAACAGGTTGTGTGTGGGAGCAGGGTGGACCAAGCTTATTCAGGGCTTTGAATGCCATGGTGAGGAGTTTGGACTTGACTGGTTGTCCTTTAATGAATAAATACCCCTGGAATAGAATCACAATATAAGCTTCTACCCACTAGTGTGCTGGGGCTCTAGAAGCTTAGGGACTACAAACACTTCCAGGCCCTGCCTCAGCCTCTTAAGACTAGAGGGAGGTCCACAAACCTCTTAGGGCTCCCAGGCTCTCTGAGACATACCTTCTTCCAGAACCTTCTGTTAATTGAGTGTCCAGAGACTTCACAGGACACAGCAACACCTTGTACCATGAGATCAAGACTTGGGAAGGGCAGCCTTGAACCCTCTAATCACCTATCTTCCTCAGTAAACCTTTCCCCCATCCACTGATACTATCTAGCCTCATTTCCTAATGGTTCACATACTTCACCCCCCTCTGGCCAATAAGCACCATTCCAGGGATACTGAACTCTCAGCTATTAGTCTTTCAAAAAAATACCTATTAAACATCTACTATGTGCCAGGCACAAGTGCTAAGAATAAAAATACGAAAAAGAAGTCCCTGCCCTCAAGGAGTTTACATTATACAGTAGAAAGACACACAAAAGGAAGCTGAAAAGAAAGGGAAAGATAAGTGGCTGAGGGGCATGATGGGGAAGTAAAGACTATGTAACCTCGGAGGAAGTGAAGAAATGGCTGGACCTCTGGGAGATCTCTACTTTCCAATCAAGGGGCCCTAGAGGCAAAAGGTACTTATGAGGTGTGAGTTCCAAGGCTTGGTGTTATCTTCCAGCATCTCCAGTTCCTGGGGCTTGATGGAAAAGGCCAGAAGAGTACAGCTGGCAATCCAGCTGAAGCAATCTTCAGGTGCTGAAGAACAAACTCACTTTTCCAATCCCAGTTGTCGAATCCATACCCACGCCCACCTCAACCCAGACCTGCCTCCCTAATATCCCACTCCATATCTCCCTGCCCTTTCCACTGTGTCCTCTGGATCACCTGCTCCATGATTAGCAAACTTCCTTTCATTTTAGATCTTTTCATCTCTTGCTTTTTTCCATCTTCTAGCACTCCCTTGAGACCTGCCTTCCTCCAAATGATATTACATCCCTGGATCCCCTTTTCAGTACTGGCTTCACTTTCTCTTATGCTTCCCCCTTCCATGCACACTCACTGTTCCCACATGGAGGGAGTCAGAATATTTCTTGTTACCCATTGCCACTTGGAGACTTCTCTCTCTATTGCTGTCCCTCAACAACCTTTTACCTTTTGAAGTTCACTTGGTCCAAATTTATCACCTGATCTAGATCCTTTTTTGACTTATCTATCAATCCCCAGAATATTCTCTCTCCTCTCTCAAATAGTTTAATGCGTAGCTCATAGTCTTTCTCTTCTACAACTCCTGCCCTCATCCTAGGAGATTGAAACTACATATTAATGTTCCTTCAACTACTGTAACTTACCAGTTCTTCAATGTACTGAACTCCTATGATGTTACTCTTTCACTCAGCTATGAACAGATATGATCATAGTCTTGATCTTCCTATCACCCACAAGTGTTCCGTTTCCATGTTCATGAATTCTCGAAATTCCTTTATCAGATCATAATATTTCATCTTTTCATTCCTCCCTATGCCTTACGTTCCCTAGCCCTCTTCTTCATTCTCACTATGACCTTGATTCTACCATTCATTGTTTTCCAAGGCAATAACCTTTATACTGGCTAAACTCTCCTCCCATTCCAATTTTGACCCTTTAGTGAACTAGCTCAATTCTACGGTTTCTTCCAGTCTTGAATCTCTTATCTCATATTGGATCATGCCTTGCCAAACCCTAACCCTGAATTGCTCCCTCATCTACCTCTTTGGATCTACTCATTTGATGCTGAACAGGAGGGTCATGAAATTATGCTGACTGGGTCCATGACAGATTTGTATCTTATTTGAATTGAGTCTTCATTTCAGCAAAGCAATCTCTCTAATCCTGCCTCATTGATTCTCTAACCCACTTACCACAGTGACTGTTCTATAATTTTTTTTCCTCTCAAGCTGGTTATGGCACCTCTCTCTCCTGTCAGCTAAGGACCCTGCCAAATTTGAGGCCGTTTTCTGAGAGTGCCTTCTTCTCTTGTCACATCCTTCTGACATCATCCCATACTGTATCCTCCTTCATTCCAGTGTCTGATGAAGACTTCTGCTTGCTAATGGCAACTCCTCTATGTACATCCTTGATCCTATTCCTTCCTGTCTTCTCCAACAGATTTCCTCCACTATTATTCTCTCTCCCTTTAATCTTCAACCTCCCTATCTACTAGTTCCTTTCCTGTTGAAATGTCCATGTCTCTTCTAGCTAAAACAAACAAACAAAAAAAAAAAACAAAACCCCTCACTAGACCCTATCATTCCTGAGAGAGATTATCCCATATCACTCCTGTTTCTCAGCTAAACCTCTTGAAAAAGCCTATATTAAGTGCCTTCACTTCTCTTACTCTTTCTTAAACTTCCTACAGTCCAATTTCCAACCTTATCATTCAACTGAAATTGTCTCTCCAAAGGTGCCGATGATCTCTTAATTGCCAAATCTAATATTCACCACCCTCTTTTCCTGGATACTCTCTCCTTTCTAGGTTTTCATGACACTGTTCTTTTGATTCTTTTCCTACCTATCCAACCAAACCTTTTCTGTCTTCTTTGTTGAATCTTCGTGTCATAACCACCAAATTGAACCCACGTCAGCTCTCATGGGTTTGTACAGTCTGTATGTCAATGATTCCCAGATCTTTATATCCATTCCTAGTTTCCTAAGCTCCAGTCCTACATTACCAAATACCTATTGAAAATTCTTAAGTAGGTGATCTGTACATAGACATCTCAAATTCAAAATTTCCAAAACAGAACTATTTTTATGTTTCCCCCTAAGTCCACCCTTCCGCCAAACTTCTCTATTTCTGTGACCTCAGTATCATTCTGAACTCCTCCCTTTCCCACACACCACATCTAATCAGTTGCCAAATCTTGTCATTTCTGCTTCTAAACCATCACAAATCTGTCCCTTTCTCTTGACTCACAAACCACAACCCTAGTTAAGATACTTATCACCTTTTGACTGAACTATAGCAATATCTTAACTAGTCTTCCTGTCTCAAATTTCTCCCTTATTATATCCATCCTTCATATAGCTACCAGGTAGCCTATGTCATTACCTCCACTAATAAGCTCCCGTGGCTCCTAGGATTAAATATAAACTCTGATTTGGTCATTAAAACTCTTCATAACTTGGCCACATCCTTTTCCAGGCCTCTTAAACATTATTACCTTCCACACACTTTACAATCCAGCCGTACTTGCCTACTTGCTGTCCCTCTGGCCTAGAATGCTCTGCCTCTTCACCTCTTGAAATCTCTGGCTTCCTTCAAGACTCAATTCAAGCACCTCCTTCTGCAAGTGGCCTTTTTTAGTCCCCCCAGTTTCAATGGAGTTCCCTTTTAAGGTTACCTTGCATTTACTCTATGTGTATCTTGTATGTGCCTATTTCTTTTTACATACAAGCGATCTCCACAATTAGAATATAAGCTTTATAAAGGCAGGTACTATTCTTTTTCCTTTGTATCCTCAGAGTTTAATATAATGCCGGTCAGGTAACTACAGTAGGTGCTTAATAAATGCTTGTTGATTGATTGGTAGATGAATTGACAGCTAAGTGCCAAGACCATAGGAATTCAGAACTGGAAGGAACTTTAAAGTCATTTAATCTTGTCATTATTTATTGATAATTATATTAATTATATATAATAATTCCATTAATATTCTTAACCTTATTAAATCATTATTGGTTAAAGAAATGCAAATTTTAAAA